CCGAAGAAGATCAAATACATACTCTCACCCCCACTTGCTTAATTTCTTAGCACTAACTGAACTATCATTATTTGGTTAGCAAGCTTAGTTTAAACTCAGAAAAATATTACAAGATAGTTTTCGACGCTGCTTGAAAGAAGTTTTGGTATTTCATTTGAATATTCACGTAATTTTGCTTGATATCTTCATCATGTTAAATTATATCATGCAGATGACCTTCAATCGGTTGGTCCATTAAAGCCAGCTCAAACCCCTTTTTATCATTCATGTCAGCCCTGCTGACCAAGGGTTATCAACCCTCTTTTCTTTCTGTCCCCACAGGGCAGTGTCCCCAAGGTAAGACACCAAAATGTCTTATCTTGGGATACTATCTCCCCCGGATAGCCTCTTTAAACCCCTTAAATGGGAGTTTCCCCTTAGCAACTACAACAACAACAGTGTCTGCCACCAGCATACCAGGGACTACATTGTTGTCGCTGCAGCAATGTCAGGCACCCATGGCGCTCCCCAAGGAGAGTTGATTTGGCTCGCTCTTCCATGCGAGTAGGGCATCTTCTCCCCTCATAAATACCCCTCCATCACTAGGCAAGAGGATTCATCTTATGTGTCAATCTCAAGCCCCTACACACACACACACACACACACACACACCCTCATCTTTACAGATTCAGACCTCATATTTGGGATGTCGTCGTTTAACTTGGTGTCTATCTCCGTTAGCGGCAATACCCATATAGTGATATACATCATCTCCAAGGAAATATATTGGGTTTGCATCTCTCAACGGTACACAATGAATGAATGAAAATAATGTTAAATATTTTTCGCAAAATTGACAATTCGTATGTTGAGATGTTAGTTCAAACTTCAAACTAAATACACCCATATACCTTAGGTATACTTTTCATTAATTTGGTTTAATGCGAATTTTATTTAGCTAAAAATATGGTTATGGGTTGCATTCGAGTTAAATGATTTTGCCTATATTTTTAAGCATTTCTATTTGCGATTTTAATACAGTGAGAACTCACTCACATCACAAGTGATGATTTAAAGTTCATATTTAGAAACATTACAAAGAACAATAATTTAAAATTTGCAGTGAAAAGGTTAAAAATTATTGAACTACGCCTTAATAATTTACTGGAAGATTTAGGAACAATAATACCTTTCTTGTTATTGAAGTGGACAGCGAACCAAATTAAAGCAGCTTCAGCAATAGCTTATGGAACAAGAAATTAGTGGAAATTATCTTGTATAGACATTGTTTCTTGGGTCAATCATTAATGCATATAAATGGTTCACAATATCAACAAGGCACCATGAAGTGGAGCTAGATAGTGCCATTACGTAATAAGAAAGGAAAAAAAAAAAGGAAAACCTTTTCAGCGCAATAAAAGCAATAGAAAGAAAAAACAAAATGATTTTAAAATAGGGAAGTATGTAAAAGGAGGCAAAATGATATTTACCAAATCAAGATAAGACAGTTCTAATGTAAGAGGAAAGGGACGCAGAGTGGAACAGTGACCATTTTGTCACTGTTGGCCAAAAAAATTATCAGACTGTCACGTCAACAATAAATTTTGCCAAAATGCCACGTGTCATATTTCGCTACACTGTGTAGCGAAATATGTGTGCAAATAATTCGCTACACAGTGTAGCAAAATATGCCACGTCAGAACCAAAAATGCCACGTGTCAAAATTATAGAAATTCGCTACCCTATGTAGCGAATTTCTTGACACATGGCATTTTTGGTTCTGAGCAATCTGACATGGCATATTTCGCTACACTGTGTAGCGAATTATTTGCACACATATTTCGCTACACTGTGTAGCGAAATATGACACGTGGAATTTTGGTAAAGTTTACTATTGGTGTAGCAGTCTGGTAATTTTTTTGGCCAACAGTCACACTTTGGTCACTGTTCCCAGCATAGTCACAGCTTTATACGTTGCAAAATGAAAATCTGTTTTATTGCTCAACTGCGGAAAGCTGCAGCTTCAACAGCTATTGCCATATGCTGCACATTCATTATCCCCAAAGCAGGTACTGTTGTTTCAAAGACATACTTCAGTGTTGTTCACCATTCACCAACAAAACTATTATATTATTTTCCTTTTTTATTTTAATTAATTTATATAAAATGTATTAACCTGTAATTATGATCACTATTATTTTTGGGTTAATATTTCTTATATCATAGTAGATAAATTTTATTTTTTATACGTACATAAAAGATAGGCTCATGTAAAAAGAAAAGAGAGGAAGAAAAAAATAGACTTGACATATTTTTTATGTATGTATAGAAAATAAATTGAGAAATAATAAATCCTTTATTTTTTAAACTACAACATTATTGACAGAGAGCAATGTTAAAAAATTTAGTGAGAGAACATATGCCAAAAACCTAAAACACTAATTTATATTATGGGTCTGTTTAATTGTGTTCTATTTTTTTTTTCTTACATCTGTTTTGTAAAATAGTTAATAAAGTAAGTATTTTTTATTTATTTTTTTGTTTTAAAAGTTAAAAAACAAAAAACTAAAACAAAACAACTCAGATAAGTTATCTAAATTTAATTCTAAAAACTAAAGAACAATTATAATTTTTAAAACAATTTTTACAAAATAGGCTTTATCAAACAATGTTTTTTTAAAAAATAAAAAATTATTTTTGAAAATAGAAATCAAACAGTGCCTATACCTCTATAAAAAAAATGTACTTTTCCCCCTCTAAAGACTATAAGTTCACAAATATAGTCTGAAATTAATTTCTTAGAATCAGAAATAATAATTAAGTAAAAGTTATTTTTAAAATAACGACTCTAAAGCTTAAAATCTAATATTAGATACCTGTTTGGATCATCTTTTTTTTTTTTTTAAGTTAGAAACTACTTATAAGCAGAAGTTAAGTCAAACAGATTTTGATAAAAGCTCTTATAATGAAAAATTCTTTATTTTATAACGAAGAAAAATGTTAAAAGCTCGTAGGAAGAGTTTTTTTTACGCTTTTATAAGTTTTTCTTAAATTGTGTGTTTTTTTTTTGAATTGAAGAGCTATATAAAGAAAGGAAATTTTCTTGAAATATGTGCTTTTAAGCTAAAATTTTATGTAATCACCAAATACTTTTAAATTTTATTAATTTTTTTTTAACTTTAACTTATAATTAGCTTCTAGCTTTAAAAAAAAGATGATGCAAACAATTTTTAGGTCATATTAATCGAGAACAACACTTAATTTTGAATTACTTTATTTTACATTTAAATGAATTTATAATTAATATTTTACATTTAAAACCGATTGGATAATATTTTTAAACTAATGCAATCAAACATGTCATTAGTACTGACGTGACTAGTGCCGTCACATATCCTGACGGCACTGATGCCATGTCAGCACCACGTAGGCAGTCTGTTACCATAAAATTTTGGAAGGCCGTAACTTTTGATTCGAGTATCCAAATCAGATGATTTTTAGATGACGAAGAAGAGGACGTCAATCCCTTGGGGATTCTAAACCAGGGACAGAATTGGGAAGTACGACCTGAAAATCAGTCCACTTTTCAAGCTATCGAGATGCAAATTAGCATTCCTGACTTTGAAGTCTATGATCATAATACAATTTGTGATGATGATCTGTTATGCAATAACAACTGATTTGACATATTTTATCTCCCACAAACATAGTTCAAATTTGTAACAATGGTACCACAATCATAAAAGCGTTTAAATCCAGAAGCTCTTAAGTTCTTCCGAACCAACACATTGAGCTGCAGCACATGTCATTGATTGACACATTTTATCTATGTGAATGATATTATTTAATTCCCTTTCTTATTTTTCAACTATCCAACAATAACAAATAGTGATAGTGGTTTCCTCTCCATCAACGCAAACATGCAACAACGAATAACAATATTTTTCTTATGGAAAGCCCTAAAGTACTGATCTTGTTGCTAAAAAAATCGTTGGCTCAGAGGTTAACCGTGGAAAAACTAGGTCAAGAAGTCGATAACACGTGCTGCAAATCATGGTGTTGGTTCAGAAAGAACTCAAGAGCTTATGAGTTTAAATGCTCTTGTGCAACTATTGTGATAAATTTGAATTATGTTTGTGGAAAAAAACATATGCCAAATGAGATGTGGTTGGATAAATCTTGAAAAATTATGTGAAATAAAAAGTCTATCCTTACAACACTTATCTAAACAAATATGCTATAAAAGTCTATAAAAAATTTCTCAGGATAAAGTTTCTATAAGTACGGTGGTTCCTCGTTTTCAAATTGTATAATCAGTAATCACCACCCTTGTACCATATATGTATACAGAATGAGAATTGGTCTATAATATTCCATTAGCAGAGCTTTCAGAATTACAACATTTATTCTAAATTTAATATGTGAGTTGACAATTTTAAATAATGTTACTTTTAACAATATTTAAATTTGCTTGGCATTCGAATTTTAAAGTGAATAATTCATTTAAATACTTATCATGTATTGAAGTATTATGTAAATGTAAATGTATTTATAAGATGCTCCACATAAATTTACACATATTCAATGTTAAATGTCTACAGTAAGACATGTTTATTATGAATTTTCTCTGAACAGATATTATGTTATTGTTTTCATATACTTTGCGTAACAACTTTACAAAGCAAACTATAGAATTGTTTTTACTTTTGAAAAAATGAATCAGCATCGCGCTTAATGTATTTCTAGCATCTTTCATGAACTGATGTTCAATATTTTGATAAAATAAAAAGAGTCATATATGGCTACTGATTCCATGGTTCTCTCTGTTTTTTTTTTTTTTTTTAGTATTATTCTATCAGCATTTCTTTGTTTTCAATTTTACAATATTTTTAGTGATTTTTTTGAATACACTATCTCGAACTTTTTAATAGGGCCTTTATTTTTCAGCGAATAGCCCATAAGAGATTACAATATAATGCAGGCCCATACGTTTGTGGGCTCAGAAGCCCGATGACTGACCCAATTCTCTTTCTTCTTTCGAATCATCGCCGCGACGTTCTTTCTCGCCTGAGAATCCCAAACCAAAAGCTTTCGCCGCCTTCTCTCTATCGGAACTTTTGCTGCATGTGATAATGAACGGTGGTGGTGTTGAAGTGAAGAGAGTGTTTATTGGAGCAGGATGCAACAGAATAGTGAACAATGTTTCTTGGGGTGCTTCTGGTTTGGTCTCTTTTGGTGCTCACAACGCCGTTGCTATTTTCTGCCCCAAGGTTCATTTTCACTGTCTTCAGCTTCCCTAGTTACTCTTTTTCACTTATACTTCATCTTAAATTTTTCCTTTTTTCCCTTCTGTTTTGGTTTTCGCAGAGTGCTCAAATTTTGACTACTCTTCCGGGTCACAAGGGAGTTGTGAATTGCACCCACTGGATCCCAAGTAGCAAGTTTTTATTTAAAGGTAACCTCTTTTTCAATTTCTGATGGTTTTGAAGCCTACAAGTTAATATTTTTACCACTGTGAAGTTGTATTTGGATTGGACTATTTGGCATAACAATCAAACAGGTCCTTGTTAAATGAATAGAATCTTGTTACAACGTTAAAAATGTTATTAATGATTAATATCCACCCTCCCTCCCCTTTTATATGCAGCAAAACAGTTGGAGCATCATTATTTGCTATCTGGAGATGCAGATGGTGCTATTATTCTGTGGGAACTGTCCCTTATTGATGGGAAGGTACAGTGTGTTCCTTTTTTTTTTTCACTTAATTTTGTAAGAATAAATTATGAGAGACACTTGTCAATTGGAATCTTTTATTCACTGTTTCTCGCATATTTCTCTTTGATCTGTTTGCAGTGGAGGCAAGTGTTACAACTACCACAATCACACAAGAAAGGGGTTACATGCATTGATGGAATTTTGGTTTCTCAAACTGAAGCAATATTTGCATGTACTTCTTCAGATGGCACTGTATGTACATGGGAACTTGTATTTCCACTGAAAGGCAGAGGTAAGACCTAATTCTCAATGATGATAATGACCCTGTTTACTGTCATGCTTGTATTTCCATTATCTACATCAACTGATTTTTCTTCATCAATTTAGGTGACTGTAAATTATCATGCCTGGATTCTTTTTCTGTTGGTTCTAAATCTATGGTAGCCCTATCATTGGCGGAATTGCCTGGAGGTAGTGGGCAAATTGTCCTTGCAATGGGAGGATTGGATAACAAGATTCACCTTTATTGTGGTGGAAGGACAGGAAATGTAACTTCATCCTCATAATTATAGATTATTAACATGAACTTTCAGTTTCTTATAGTTTTTTCTTTTTCTTCTTTTTTTCTTTTTGGGCATTTGTGTTAAGTATTTGTTACTTTTCTTTTACATATGAACTCAGCTTGTACATGCATGCGAGCTAAAAGGTCATACAGATTGGATCCGGAGTTTGGACTTCTCATTACCTGTAAGCATCAATGGGGAAGTAAACAATATTTTCCTGGTGAGTTCATCCCAGGATAAAGGCATAAGAATTTGGAAGATGGCATTACGCAGCTCTATGTCCAATGGACATTGCATACACAGGAAGGAAGAAATAAGCTTATCATCCTATATAGAAGGTCCTGTACTTGTAGCTGGTTCGTCCTCTTTCCAGATATCGTTAGAATCTCTTTTAATTGGACATGAGGATTGGGTATATTCAGTGATGTGGCAACCCCCTTTGGCTGGATCCATAGAAGGGGATGCCTATTATCAACCTCAAAGCATCTTATCTGCATCTATGGACAAGACAATGATGATCTGGCAACCTGAAAAGACTTCTGGTGTCTGGATGAATGTCGTCACTGTTGGGGAACTAAGCCATTGTGCTCTGGGGTTTTATGGTGGTCACTGGAGTCCAAATGGAGATTCAATTTTAGCACATGGATATGGTGGATCTTTCCATCTTTGGAAAAATGTTGGTGATGATAACTGGCTGCCACAAAAGGTTCCCTCTGGTCATTTTGCATCGGTGACTGATATTGCCTGGGCTAGATCTGGTGATTACATTATGTCCGTCAGTCATGACCAGGTATTTAAAAATACATTATGTTCACAAAAGCTTCTCTATTGATCAATTGTGTCTTTTAATTTATCTCTTGTGATCTTATATGATAATGCATTTTATAATTTAAAAAATGGTTTGCGCTTTGTTGTCTTAGTGTAAGAACATTGGCTATATGAATTTTTCTTTTTTGAAGAGAAAAATAATGAAATTCAAGCCGTTTGTGTAATTGTTTTAGTTTCCACTGCTGGCCTTTCAAATAATAACTCTGAATATTTTCTTGAATTTGTTTGGGCTCTGAAAATTGATGTTGCCATGTGAAATTTCAGACAACTAGAATATATGCCCCATGGAAAGTTGAGGCTTCTCTCCAAGATGGCGAATTTTGGTATGAAATAGCTCGCCCTCAGGTCCATGGTCATGATATAAATTGCATGGCAGTCATTCATGGTAAGGGGAATCATCGTTTTGTTAGTGGAGCTGAAGAGAAAGTTGCCAGAGTGTTTGAAGCCCCGTTGTCATTTTTGAAAACATTAAATAATGCCAATTTGCAGAAGTCTTGTTCTTCTGATGATGTCTTGAGAGACGTTCAGATTTTGGGTGCAAATATGTCAGCTCTTGGACTATCGCAGAAACCTATTTATGCTCAAGGTCAGTTATTTTATTGAAAGTTGATATTGATGAGGGTATACATATTAGTCAGATCCTGAGATAATATTGTCAATTGTTGGTTCTCTTTCTCATGGTTATCTGCTGGTGTTAACTTTGATATTAATGGCATCTGGTCGTAGTTGATCGATATGGAAAGGAAGACTTTAAAAGATAGAGCCACTGGTTGAGGCTAAAAAAGAATGCAATTAATTAAAGAATTAGTTTATAATCCAGGTGGTTTGTTTATCTAGATAGTTGGGTAAAATTTGCGCACAACTAAGTTAATTTATAATTCCAGGAATGGATACTCTCATATCTCATTTTTAACATGACGGCGCCGTACGAGAAGATTTCAACCATCTATAATTTTTTTTTGACAAATCAACAGTCAACATCACATTAGCAATTAAAATGACCTTTTTCTCTTTTTCTGTTTTATGATCGCAATAATCAACAATTATGGATTTGTTGTTAAGGCTAAAGATTCTGTGCAGCGCTAATGTGATGTTGACTATTGATTTGTCGTTAAAATTATGGATGACTGAGATCTCTTCACTTTATGTGATCATGTTAAAATGAGATATTGAGAGCATCCATTCCCTAATTCCATGTAGTTTATTTGTCTGGATAATTGGGTAAATTTTGCCCAATTGGTTAACTTAGCTTAGTCATTCAGTATTTACTTGGATGTATATACTAAAATGCAATTCTTTCGTGTATATGGATCAGTTTTAAACTCAAGTTCTATGATTGACATATTTGGACATATCATATCTTAGTAATTACTGCTTGTAATGAGTATTATGTATATAAATTGATAATAACACAATCAACTCGTATGATTCTGTTCATTCTATATAATATACAAGCTCTTGGAAAGATGCACCTTTAGATTTTAATTTTGTTTCACTGATGTGAACTTGCATCCAGTCCTATGGTCATTCTACTGCCTCACCTTTTGAGGGTGGACCTTCAACTTAGAAATGTGAGCTTTAGATCATTTTATGACTGTGTTGTTCATTGGTTTCTTGCATGAATTAATCAACACTCTGGTTACTTGTCTCAAGACAAGTAAACACCCTGATTTCTCACGTATTAGAAATAAAGATACATTTTTACTGGAGCAGCTATCAAGATAAGCTGACTGTGATACTGGTTATTCAGAAATTCAACTGGCATATTTGGTGTAAAATTATGTTATAACCATCCCTTGAATTTATGTTTTAGGAGTTAGGACATATAACATTTTCTTTAGTACTTGGTTGTCTGTCTCTGCTGTGGAGGATATGGGTCTACCCAAGAGCTGGCTTATATCATAGAATGGGATACTTGGGCTTGTTTGAATTCTGGTTTCAAAAACAAATTTTTAGTTTTCAAAAAAAAAAAAAATGTTTTGATAATGCTTGTTTTGTAAAAATAGTTCTAAAAATTATAACTATTTTTTAGTTTTTAGTATCAAATTTAGAGAACATATTTTTGTTGTTTCTGTTTTGTGTTTTGACTTTTAAATTTTGAAACAAAAAAAACACATAAAACATTTATTTCATTGACTACTCTACAAACAATTTTAAGAACAAAAAAAGCAGAACACAATCAAACAGGCCCTTAAATCCCTTGATTCATTTTCCAATGTTAAGATATAACTTTTCATTCTAATATAATTTGTTTTGGTGGATCAGTCTTTTGAAAATTTATAATTGAGGATTATTCTATATTGCAGCTGTACACGAGGCCCCTAAGAGAAGTGGGGTTGATGATGGTCTGGACACCTTTGAAACTATTCCTGATGCAGTTCCAACCGTATTCACGGAACCTCCAATTGAAGATCAACTGGCTTGGCATACACTCTGGCCTGAATCACACAAACTCTATGGTCATGGAAATGAACTATTTTCTTTATGCTGTGACCATGATGGTGAGCTTGTTGCTTCTTCATGTAAGGTATGTGGTGTTAGTCTAACTCTGCACCTGTATAATTAGACAGAAGATTTAGTGCTACTTATATGGAAAATTCTCTTTGCTTGCAAACCTCGTTACTTGAGGAATAGGATGCTGCTAATTATGTTATTTCTTCATTCGAATGCATTTTTCCACGTCATTGAATATGCATTTACTTCAACCAAGTTGGCTTAGATTGTTCTGGTAGTCAGTTTATACCTTTGCTCACTTGTCAGCTTTATCGCTGATATTGCTATGTTATTTGGTAATTATTGTATTAATGCTTTATGCATTGCAGGCCCAATCTGCAGCTGTGGCAGAGGTATGGCTTTGGAAGGTGGGTTCATGGAAAGCAGTTGGTCGCTTGCAATCCCACAGCTTAACTGTAACACAGATGGAATTCTCACATGATGACAACTTTCTTTTGACTGTCTCAAGGGATCGTCAGTTCTCCGTTTTTAGAATTAGAAGAACAGGTGGACTAATAATCATCGTTTATAGATTGCAGGCATATGCATTTGCATCTTTTCTGCATTATTATTATTGTTGTTATTATTTTGGTGATTTTCCTTGGTTAACATTTCTTGAGCTTGGATGAGTGACCAAGTCTGTAACCTGCAGCCCACTAGTGTTAAGAAACTGAGCAAACCGTTAGAGCTGCAAGATTAACTGGTTGGCATCTCTCTTCAGCAATATAATTGCTGAATAAGAATAAAAATAATTTAGAAGTTAAATATTAAAATATATATTTGACTCCTTTAGCACCGCAATAGCTGCATGTCTCTTAATAATAATTACTGCAAGTCATCAGAAATCCTAATCACTCAATTATGGTTTGTAGGCACTGGTGAAATTAGTTATAGTCTTCTTGTGAGGCAGGAGGGACACAAGCGGATTATCTGGTCATGTTCTTGGAATCCACATGGTCATGAATTTGCAACAGGTTCGCGGGATAAGATGGTCAAAATCTGGGGTGTGGAGAGGGAATCATCAGTCAGGCAGCTTATGACTTTACCGCAATTTATGAGTAGTGTAACAGCATTATCTTGGGTTGGTCTCCATGATCAGAGAAATAATGGACTTCTAGCTGTTGGAATGGAAAATGGCCAAATAGAACTGTGGAATCTGTCTTATAACAGAGCAGATGATGGGAGCATTGCAGCACCAGGTTTGGCTGCTGCTCTTGTTGTGCGTATAGATTCTTTTATATGCCATGCCTCTACAGTAAACCGTCTGGCATGGAAGAAAAATGGGGAAGATCACAGCAGTATGCAACTTGCTTCGTGTGGAGCTGACAATTGTGTAAGAGTGTTTAACGTAAATGTTGAGTAATTAGATCATTTTTCCCTTTCTCTTTTGGCATATCTATAGAATGAATTTTTTTTATCCTTATAGCTATGGCTAAGAAAATTTGATTAGTAAAGTCTTCTTAGTTAATAAGGAGAGCTGCTTATGGTGTTTTAAAGGTGGGGGGCATTTTAATATTAAAAAAATAAAAATTAATATCATTGGAAAAGTTCTCTAACACCGGTCATCAGTTGATCACTTTCTGGTCATTGTCTCTCGAGAAATAAACTTTCCATCGTGCTGAGAGGGTGAAAAGTTTGTAATAAAAAACGCACAAGAGTGAACTTTGGCCGAAAATGTTGTTTCTCCGTATGGATAAGCAAAACGTAACATATGCTTGTCAGGCTGCATTTATTAAAAGTTGTTCATTGAAGCCTAATTGATATGTTCTTTGATTGATTGTAATAAAGCTAGGTGAAATATCTTGTTTTTTTTTTTAATGGGAGAATAGGGTATATTACTAAAAAATGAATAGAAATTGTAGAGCTGCAATCTTTAATCTTGTATCTCTAATAATATTACACGGTTGTTATGGATTAATAAATTTAGTTTGTTCATCCTTCCCAATTCGGTATATAGGCAAATGCTGTATACATCTCAGTGAGAATAGTTCAACATGGTGTGTTCATTACGAGTTTACGACACAAATATTGTTCAATCTTTCAAGTGGACAACTCTAATCTATCCTTTAGTGTGGGACTTTATGATCCTCTTAAGTGGGACCCTTGGTGGGTAGCCCTTTACATGGTGCGCTCCTCAACTTTGAGTGTGTACAGTTCACCCATTCATGAAATCTTCGGAGGCAGAGAATCAAATGTTGAGCTAATGACTCCTCGTTGATTCCTTTCCATCATTATGGAATTTAGTTCTTGCTTCTTAGAAGCAAAGGGTAATATAATACCCGTTGAAATATCGCATTAAATTTGGTGGGGTGCACATACACACCTTTCTTCCATGCTTTACTCATATGGGTTTCCATGAGCAGCCCAAGTTCCTACTTTGGAGCAAGGCTCCCTCGGTCAGCAATAATGTACCAATTATGTACATTGTATCAGGTGCATTCTTCTAAGCAAAAATCAGCTTATGGAGGTGATGGACCCTGAACTCCGTTGACAATTGACATTGAACAGGTAGGGACCATAAACCCTTTGACAATTGGCAGCCCCATCATATTTATCAATGATAATGTTAATAATGAACGCAATGACATAGAATGATGCAACAAGTTGTTTGAAGCAGAGTCAGCATCAACTAATTGTCCCAGAATTCAAGTCAGGGATGACAACATTAGTGTGTAGGCAGCGGCTTCATCGTGGAAACGTGTAGCTGGATAATATTGAGATTTAAGTAAACTTTTGTTTGTTTTGAATCATATATTACTTTTATTTGATTTGAGCGTAACCAAATTGTACTTCTTCCAAGCATACAAGCAGCTCAGGACTACTCACGCCTAACTCCTAACTTTTAAATCTCGTCAGTTTTTCTTAAATTGACCACTAACTAGTACTTTATGCATACTTTAATACAACAAAACATCGAATCTAATGTACTTTGCAACTAAGGTCACATGAAATTCAGTAAAACCAATATGTAACGTGCACACTGTTATTTACGATTTATATTAGTCTTAAAGTTCACTAAACGTTAAAATTTCCCATCAATCAACTCTTGCTTAACATAGGTATCGTACATTTGTGTCTTGGTCAAGTACCAGCCTATTTTCTATTAGCTCTCGTAAGCATCACATATCGTTTGAATTCCGATCCATAAGTTGTCTTAGCAATGTAAAAGAATTATATCTACCGTAATTTCTTGCATAATATGGAGTATGCCATTAAGCGAAGATAGTTACAAAAGCAGCGTAGATTGACCATGAGTTAAAGTCATACTCGGCAGCTTGAAAAGATCATATAAAGGATTCATTTGATTATCGTGAAACAAAAAGGGAAGATTTTTTATTATTATTATTATTTTGATTATTATGCATTTAAAAGTTGGCGTGTTAAAAATAATTCAAGGCGTAGCTTTCATCAAGGGGAATCAAACTCAAACTTGGCAAGGACATTTTTATGCGGTCATGCGCGGCAAAACGTAGTCAATCAGCAAAAATATGTTTTTCCCATAGGAAACGAACAAGAGGAATGCAAAGGCCACCAGATAAATGTGTTAATTATTCATGACTACATACAAGAGAAAACTTAAGGTCCTTCACGGCTTCGGTCGTATAAGGGACCAAGGACAAACTCCTAGTCCAAGACTCCAAATGGCTACATGCATTGCACATGTCAACAGCAATAGTTTATCATGAAACATGAATCACGTAGACTAGAATAAGAAACGACTCCTCATAATTTATATGACAATCATTTCAGGAATTGATATTTGAACTTCACAATACAATGTTTCAGACTTGAACTTTTACAGTATAACCTTGGAACAATTTCCTTTCCTATAAAATATGACATACAACAAAGAGTACAAGATGATCACAGTTTCTTATTTTCTATCACAAACACGTACCACAAACAAGTACCAAACATGACGACAGGAACTAACATGTAAAACTTAAAGGGAAACCAAACCCATTTCTTCAAAATTGTTTTTCTTTTTCTTTTTCTGTAGGACTAGTTTATTATTGCTGTGAGGTTCTTATCTGCTGCTTCATACCATCGGAGGGATGCTGAGCAGAAACTTCCGGCAGCACCACAGCAGCAGCAGTCATGGTCTGGTACTGTGAAGGCATTGTGGGCGCCAGAGGCTGGGAGTAGTATATTTGAGCATGAGAAGGATCCGCATAATCATACGCATAATTAGCAGGGGCAGCAGAATTAGGGGCCATGGACTGGGATGGATGGTGGATCTGGGAGTAAGTGACATATTGTTGCTGATGCTGACTTGAAGGAACTTGAACTAACTGAGGGTTTCCTGCAGTTGCAGTTCTGTAAGCAGCTGCTGTCATTTCAGTTTTAGGATGGGGAGCATTTCTAATGGGGTTGTAAGCTGCAGATGGTGGAACCAATGAGGCAGGATTTGGCGGATTTTGGGGCCTGCTAGAAGGAATGTTTGTGGCAGATTCACCCATGTTAGCCTGCTGCATAGATAAGTTGTAAGCTTGGGCTTGTCTTGCAGGCACATAGTAAACCTGGTGATGCTGTTGCTGGGAAGGATATACAGGATGATAGTATGCAGGCATTGCAGAGTTAGGGTGAATGAAGTGTGCGCCATGTATAAACTGCTGCTGCTGCTGCTGTTGTTGTTGAGGCTGTTGGTGTTGCTGATCGAATTGCTGCTGCAATAAATATCCAGGGTCCTGTAAATGTTGCTGCATCTGGATCCGACTGTGTTGATCAGACACATTAAGTTTGGGATCCACAGGATTACTAGGAACCCTTGTTGTTCCAGATTGAATCTGAAATTGGTCTTGATAGATCACAGTTTTAGGACGTGACATTGCATTTGTAAGGCTACTATCACTGCAGGATCAAAACAAGTAACAAGAACCTAATTCAGAAACCACAAAACCAGAACCCCCAGACTTATAATCAAACCAAATAATATGATACAAATTAAATGAATGATCCAATGTAAATTTTAGAAACAAGTTCCAACCAAAACCAGATAGAGAGAGAGAGAGAGAGAAAGAATTAAGAAAGGTAAAGGAAACTGAGAATACCTTGAAACAGAATCAGGGGAAGGCAAATCAACGGCGCCAGTTGACTTCTGTTGAAATTGAGGTGCATGTGACTGTGTGTGTGTTTGTGGCTGTGGCTGTGCCGGTGGCTGTGGCACTGTCTGTGGCTGAGGAGTTGGTGGTTTTCTATATCCCACAGGCACCCCATGATCCGATCTTTCATCATCTGAGATAATACGGTTCTGGTATTCACCACCAACCACCGCAGAGCCGATCGGCACACCCACCGCCGCAGCGGAAAGGGTGGTGGGAACCGGAGGCGGCGGCGGAGAAGACAGCAAAACAAAACCCTCATCCTGCTTCTGTCCAACACCAACACCCATCTGAGCAAACTGTTCCTCAATCCCCAATACCTTTTGATCCTGCACCCTAACCCCACCACCACCACCACCATCCTCCACATGAACCCGAATCGGCGGCAAATTGGCCAGCGACGGCGACGACGAAGTAGACCCAAAAGATGAAGTGGTCTCAAGCATAGGGGAATCAGGAACAGAGTGAACATCCTGCTTCAAATTCTTACAATTCCCAAAAGATCCAGGCTGAGAAGCAGCCTCAACAACCTCTCTGGAACCGGGTTCGAGGTTGTTCCCTGCAACGTCAACGTCATCGAGACCCAGAAGACAATTGACGGAGGCAGATTCGGAGAAGCCCCGGTTGAGCAATCCGGCGCCGTTTAGGGCGTTGAGGAACCAGTCTTCGGACTTAGCAGAGGTATCAAGAATTTCTGGGGGAATGGAGTGAGTGGAATCGGGTTTGTTAGGGAAGAGGAAGAGGCGAATTCGTGAGGGTTTCACGGCGGAATTCGCGGCGGTTGTTCGATCGTACTCCTCGATCATGTTATCAAGGTCCTCGTCGGTGGTGACGGAGATGAGGGAATCGAGGTCTTCACTGGGAAGCTGGTACTTGAGACTGAACCCTCTTCCGTTCAGGAACGTCTTCGAGAGGCGCGTGGATAGGTCCGAGAGTGAGGTGTTGCGTTCCACCACCACGATGCGGGTGTCGCCGCCGACGTAACAGAGGGACTTGTCGTGTGGACGGGGGACGATGTGACCGCCGTAGCTGCACATCAGGCGGAGCTTCGTGGACGCCGGCGGGTAGGGCTCGTCCCACGAGTCCGTGTTCCGGGAGCGAGGGGACGAATCCAAAGAGTCTGGGTAGTTGAGGTGGGGTGGCGGCGGAGCCACCGAGGATAAGGGCGGAGCAGTGGATGGCGTTGGAGATTGAGCCTCCATGACGATGGTTTGGAAGATTAGAAGGAGGTTTCGGTGTTTTTGTTTGCTGCCGCTGCCTCCTCCTTCGCAGCGCAAAAGAGAGGAACACAAAAGAGGAACCTACACTCTCTACTTTCTGCTCTTATGCTAACTTCACGCAGGATCCTTTACTTAGTTTTTTATTTATTTTTATTTGGGATAGAATATTATTACTATCAAATAATGTTACTATTAATATCATTATCTATATCTTAACCGCTATTCTTTGTCTATCGACGTTTATCATTTATTATGAATTAATAATTAAATAATGAGTTTGATTTGTTAAAATGATAATCGTTGATTGATAAAAATCAACGGTTAAGATATAATAGTAACAATATTCTATCCCATAAAAATATATGAAAATAAAAAAAGATAGATATTGTTATTTTTAAAAAAATAAATATAACCGTTACATCAACATAATCAATATAACGGTGAAATAAATTAGTAGTAATATTGATAGTAACACTAATTGGTAGTAACAATATCTTATCTCTATAATTTTTAATCTTTCAATCCTAAAACAATATCGTTTTAAGCTCACTATAAATAGCTTTATCTCCAATTATTTCTCTAGAAATATTAAATCCTAGTTTTTTTTCTAATTTTTTGTGTGTGGATAAATCACATATATCCTAGATAATTCATAATTAAGATTTTAAATTTCTCTTAGAGATAATACGGTATAGATAAATTTTTTGTTATTAATATTATTATTTATTTATGAGAAAAGTTATAGTATTATTATTTATTTATGAGAAAAGTTATAGTTACAATCTTTTTTTTACAACCTCTTACAACCATATCTTAATACCGTTGATTTCCGTCAATCAACGGTTATCATTTATTGTGAATTAATAATTAATTAATGAGTTTAATTTACGAAAATCAAAATTGTTGATTGACAGAAATCAATAATATTAAGATATAGTTGTAAGAAGTTGTAAAAAAAAAAAATTATGAGTATAACTTACCTTTTTATTTATTTGTGCGTTTTTTTAAAAAGTGGAATTGGGATTGAATACTGTGGGAAAGGGAGCAAACTCGAAACAGTGTGATGTGAGAGAGTGAGAGGGTCAGGGTTTGAGTTTGACAGCTAGTTTACTGGTTGGACCCAATTGAGCTTGGTTCTTTTTGTCCCTCGGACAAACGGTAAACCATTCAAAACAATTACCTTTACCAAAATTTATGAATGTTTTTGTTAAGAGAATTATGTAATCATTAATAACTTTAATACCTCATTAAGCTCTTTCTTTTATCACTCTAAGATTCAAAGTGAACACAATCAGTAGCACAAATTAGATAGTTTTAGCATTTTTTTGGAACATTAGACCTTAACGACTCCAATCATAATTAGGCAAACATGGTGTTTAGCCGCAACTGCGGGTGGTGGTGCCTAAAAGTTATAAAACATTACGCTGACGCAACGTAACAGCGTAATCCCGTTTTAACGTAAACGGATAGCATCCGATACGGAACAGCACAAGATACAAAAGTATTAGGATCAGTAAGACGAGTAACACGGTTACCCTTAATTGCAATAAAAAAGATTCCACGCGCATCATCGTTGTTTACTCTTTAGCGTTGGAAATGAGGCGCGTGGGCGAAGTGAAGGAAGTGGGTTAAACGGCGCCCATAAGTTGCAGCGCTGTAAAGTGACAACTGACAACTGCCACTGTAACGTTTTCACCTGACGTATGACGAGGATTGGGGATGCTTGCGACGTAAGGGGACACACATCAAGTGCCTCCTTAAAAAAACAAAATACAAAATAAAAAAAATTATAGTAATATTAACGAAAAAATATTTATTCTTTTGAATAATGATCATTTTAATTAAAACTAATATTTTTTATTTAAAATTTAAATAAAAAATCTCACTTTTTTCTCAATAATTCTTATTATGTATTTATTTTTCTCACTTAAAATAATATAATTTTATATTTTTTTTGTACAATAATTTTATATCTTCTAAAAGAATAAACATCAAACATCAAACATTAATTTTTGACCTATTGTTTAACCATGAGCTTGACTTATTCCAAAAATTAACTCCACGTTGTTTTTTAACTTACCCTAAGCTGTCAAATATGATTTTTTTTTTTGCGAGTAGTCAAATATGATTTTAAATACTCCAGTTAAATTTAAATTTAAATAAAATTAATAATGTAAGTGCATAAACAAAAATAACTAAAAAAATATAATCATACAGTTTAACAATTGTTTTCCACTGATTGTAGTAAAACTATAGTTACAATGGTCAGATTCTTTTTTCTTTTTTTTTTTCTGGTAAGCTTCAGGTCAGATTCTTTTAGTATCAAACAAGGGTCAGATTCTTTTATATATTTATTCATTTAAGTATTTAACATGGGCATAACTTTTTTTATAAATAAACTATCAGCCCGGTTGGCGTAAAAATTAAAAAAAAAAATAGGTTGTAAGTATAATCTTCTTAAAAAAAATATAATATATTTATTAATGTCAGAATTTTATGTTATTTCTCTTTATTGATTTTGATAAATTTTAATTAGCTCCCACGTACGTAATATTTAAAAATAAATATAGATAAAAATAACATTTTAAAATTAGAGGATCTACTTCCTTTAAAAAAAAAATATTAAATCCACTAGGGTTCAATTGATTGGCGAATCAGCTTTTTGTATTAAAGGGTCCTCGGATTTGTAGCAGTGGGAGATAATTTTGTAGACACAGCAAATTGGGTTCATTCATTTTTTTCAAAAAAATTAATTAAGATTCAGGATCCAGATCCTAAAAAATATAAAAAAAATTATGTTTGTAGCGTACAAAAGTACAACTCTGCAGAAATATTTCTGCAGATTTTAAATCAGTAAAATAGAATATCGTAATCAGGAAAAAAAGAAAAAACTGTAAAAACTTACGTAAGATTATAATCTTATATTATATGAGATTCATCTTTCAGATTACATTTACATAAAAAAGATGTGCTTTTCTTTTTCTTCTTTTTCCTTTTTTTTTAAATTGATGGGTCCCACTTTATTTATATCACAACATAAGATAATTTCTCTCATATTACATAAGAGAAATAAAGCCCTTTTATTATTCCATCGTGTTCCAAAATAAGTATTTTGTTTTTAATCTTATTCCACTCGGAAAGTATCTAAGCAAAACTATATGTACGGATCTCTTTTATCCCATTCCAATTATTTTTTGGGTTCAATATTCTCATGTTATAAGAAATAAATAGAATTTAAATGAACTTATATGAGAAAAAGGGAGAGAATAATAAAATATGAACTTCATACACTTTTATATGTATATAAAAGATAAGTTTATCTTCTATAATATAAGAAACATTAAACCTTTATTTCTTTTTAAGTTTAATTTTTCCTGTTTTGTTTTTTGACATGCTAAAAGTTTGGAGTGATAAAAGGATTTATTAATTTTAATATTAGAGCAAATCAAAAACATTTAAAAAAAATCCTCGTGAAATTATAGAATAACTTTTTATTAGGAGAATTTTTTAGTTCCATTAAATAATTATTCCTCTAAATAGAGTAGTCTATTATATCTTTTAATATTCCCATACTTTCCTTGGTCGAATCAACATCCTGTTCAATGTTCATGGCGCCACGTCAAAAATTCTTCTCTAACTTTAATCTATTCATTTCACATTTTAATGACAATGATGTTACTCCATGTGCTAAAAATATAATTTTAACCTGATTAATAGATTCTTTCTTTCTGTTTTTAGTTTTTAATAAACTAACTCCCTTTTTTATCAAAAGATTAAAAATTAAATGTATTCTAGGCTGGATAGTTAGGATTCGAATATTTCCTTAAGACAGAAATGTCTAATTCAGTGCACTAGTGAGATTCTTTTAGATCTAGGTGCTTTCTATAAGATATATATGAATGAAATATCTTTGAGTATAGCATATCACTGTACAGAAGTAATAGAAAAAATAGCTTTCGCGAATGGGGTGTTGTATGCACCGTGACAACATAATAATAAGAGAGAGACACTGAATCATACTTGTAGATTTTACCTTTTATTTATAGGGTTCACATGTAGGTGTTAGAATTATGGACCTTTTGTGCCTCTTCTAATAGTCCAAACGCATGTTCGATGTTGTCGTATTATGATTAATATATTTAATTAATATTATTCTTTAATCATATTAGATTCTTATTTTGATTGCCCCTTATTGAGCAATATACTAAATGAGGCTCGTATATGAGTCTATAACAATTACCCCCGAGGCAGACAATCGACATTCCGGGCTGCCGAGATGTTTATAAATTCAAAATCTTGAAAATGACTCGGATTTTCTTTGAGAATTACCCGGGTTTATTGTATCATATTAATTCCAAGAAATAATTCACATATTTCAAATCCGGATAAATTGAATGTTCAATCTTATCAGAAAAATAATTCATATTATATTTCTTTCAATCAGAGTTATGATTAATAAAATTCCTTTTGATCATAAGTTTCCCCTAACCCGGATTACTATAGGATAAACAGATTATCAATCCATAATCTATGTTGTATTTTTTGTTAACCTCGATTCTTTGTCATTACATCATTTCTTATGTTTTGACTTTAAACGAATCAAGTTTGTCTTTTCCCTATTAATTCGCATTCCTTTAATTGTAAATTCGGGATAAGAATTTCACGCTTCTCAAGTAATGATGATAACTTTTTATGTGGTATCCTCTAGCTGCCATAATGTGTTATAACAGTCTTGTGTGCCATCTTCGTATTTTGTGCGCATTTAATGCACTCATTTCTTCATCTATCTAATCATTATTTTAGGGGTAAATTGGCATTTATGCCTCTTTCTTTTACTATGCGCACCTCCAACAGTTTTGTTTTTCTATTCATATCTCCCCTTTTTGTTCGTTCCTCATTTGCCTTTCTTAGAGGTTTTCTTTGTGTTTTCCCTTCATTTTTATTTCTGAAGTTTTTTGGTTCGAAGTATCTTGAACTCAGGTGCATGGTTGTGTATAATAAAAATTGTGATATATAAATATACTAGTAAATAATTAAAGGAAAAATAAGTACACATCTTTGGCGAGGGTAAAAGCATAGTAAAAGCATACTCTGGATTAA